TCTTAACTTATACCCAGTACGGAGACCCTGCAGCAGACTGGCTTAGTCTGGAACATGCTCCGACGGACGCACTACCCCAAAGTTCATGGACGACATACAGGACACGGACAGGCCATACTGACACAGCCGAAAAGGGGGGTCAACCTCCTAGACATAACGGCTGGGGAGGAGGCAACAGGTACAAGGCTGACCTCACAATACCAGCGAGCAACTAGTTTTACTCCCCTTCCCTGAGGGGGAAGATTTAGACCGCAACATGCCGAAATGGCCCCGAGGGTTTAACATGACTGACCGCCTATAAGGGTTGACACTTAAGCATTCTACATGCACCTCGGGGCGCACATGGGGACGCAGGGTTATACAAAGCACAGCAATCACTTGTCGGGTTGACCGAAGGTTGACTGACCTTCCACAGACCCTAAGCCGCAGGCATGGGTTCGCATGTATACAACTTACAGATTTTGATAGTAGAAAATATGAGCATTGTTCTGTTACTTGTTTATATATGTCTTGTACCATTTACCGTTTTTACTTACCGTATGCTTACGGAATATTTGAAAAAATTACCTTCAATAAAAATGATTGACACAAAAAAATATATATATGATCTAAGTATATATATTTTTTTTACACTTTTTTACCTTTATTAATTTTATTTAATTTTATTTCTAGCCAGCAATTTCTGGCAATGCAGGAGGCAGCTATCCCGGCCATGTGATTGTGAGGTCCTCGCAAGGATCTCACTCTCACATGGCCGGGGGGGCTGCCAGGGGGTCGGACGTGCCGCGGGGGGTAAGTGAGGAAAGACCGGAGGGCGTACTATTACGCCCGGCGGCGTTTAAAGCCGCCTAAAATAGGGCGTAATAGTACGCTCTGCTAGGGAACAAAGATGGCTTCTCTGGTTAGGGACTAAAGGCTAGTTAAGCCTTTATACTTTAATTTTATAATTCATATAATTATTGGTAAGTTCTTTTCAAGGGGAAAGAAAAAATAAGCAAGCTAAGGGATCCCCCTGCAGATCGCGGTGGGGGGCATGCCTGCCACCCAGGCAC